CCAGAGTAGCTGGGGCTACAAATGCCCACCACAGCACGTGGCTATTTTTAGAGATGAGGTCTCACTCTGGCTCAGGCTGGTCTCAAACCTGTGAGCTCAGGCAATCTAACTGCCTTGGCTTCCCAGAGTGTCTTTACCATTTGTAAACCAGTTCTTAAGGGACCATGTGCATCTTAACCATGTGTAGGTTAGGATGTCTAGGTTGGGCCTCTCCAAAACTGAAAGTGAGATTTGGTACTATCAAATAACCCAGATCCTGAAAGGCAATATGTAATTGGAAGATAAGAAAATAACATATTTCCAGCAAAAGATTACAAGTAGAAGTACTTGCCTGTGAAATGTAACCCTGAATAAAACTAGAATGTAAAGCTCTGTCATTCTGAGAATTTCTAATGGGATTGAATTCACCTATATTGGAGACCAGAGTTTGTACTCTGTACGGCCTAAGAATTTACAAATGCAAAAATTTGCGTTAAAGAAATCCAATACTGGTAGTGACCCCAGTGAACCTTTGCAAATCAAAGTCAAATCCTTTCTGGAAGAGTATACTTAAACCTGATCCCAAAGAATCCCCACAGATAAAGTTCTGATGAAACAGAGTCCAATATAAAATCACAAAATACCTAAGGACCAAGCCAACAGAATCAAAATCACTACAAATAACAAAGTAAACGATCAGACCTGCAAAGGCAGCAGACATCAGAGTTAGTACTTCCACTGTTCATGTAAATGCTGGGGAAGATTCTTTCCCTTGTTTCTCAAGGAATGTTAACCAGACAGATTTTTTTCATGTACCTCATCTTTTATTTACTTTCATATCTCTTATTATATAAATTATTGCACAGAAGACTAAAAGGAAATAAAAATTGTCTTTAAATGTACTATCCATGCATATCCTATTTATCCAATTTATGTATAAATCAAATCAAAAGAGACTTCAAAGCAACATGCCTGTTATCTATTTATTTATCTTCTACATAAAATATATGTGCAAACATATTAACAATGAATAGTTGAGAAGTGTAAATGTTCATAATCAGTTTCTCTTTCATACATTTCATTGCTTTCTAATATCATGTGCAAGGAAACAAAAAAAATGGAGCTATTGATAATGGAATAGGTATCAATAAACCCAAGTTCATACTGACAAAAACACCAGTAGAATAAAACATAAAGAAAACATAAATTGACTAAAGTTCATAGACGATGCAGACCTTTATGCCACACATCACAAATTAAGTTGTTTATTACTGAAGAAAATATGAAAAGAATCATAATGCAACATGAGAAAGTGTCAATATATAAAGTACTCACAAAGACTGGTAGAAAATCAATCAACAATCACAAGATAAGAAGAAAGCAAATGAACAATTCCCCCAACGTATATGCTATTGGTTAAAAATCCTCTAAAACGTCCTTATACACAAGTAATCTAATATATGAGAATTCAATATATTTTTGCAATTAAAGTAACAACAGTAAATATAGTAACCTTGCTTAATTTTATGATTGAAATATTGGGTTGTTTTTTCACCATTAGAGTGTTGGTTTACTATTTCCTCAAAGAAAGGCAGCAATTCTGCAAAAAAAATGATCAAATTCCTCCTGAGTGGAGTTTCATTTAAAATACAATTTTGCACTTCTCTGTATGTATTCAGTTGCTTCCATGCCCTGACCCCATTCTTGCCTACATCCCCCCTTACTCCTGTGCAGAGTTCAGATTTCACACTACACCATCTCACCTCAGTAACACCTTCCCGACTCCTAGGACCAAGTCAAGTCACTGATGAGCATCTACTAGTTTTTCTCTCTCCATATGACACATATAATAGTTTGGGTGATTTGGGGTTATTATTTGTGTTTCTACTAGAATATATTATTTATTACATGGTGCATTGTTCAGTACTATAACCTCAATATCTAGCAGAGTTAGCATAGGAAAAAAATTTCTTGAATGAATAAATAGTATTCTTGCTCTACCATACTCACGTTTGCTTATTTTTTTCAGTGGAAAAATGAAAACAAAAGAAATATAATCAATATGATAAATATTAAGTATACATATTTGAAACATAGCTATTATACATCTTCAAAAATGGAGATACAGTGTTTCCAATCATAGAAAAAGAAGGAAAATCTAACATAATCTATACAGAGAGCATTATTGTTTATCATGCAATTTCAAATGAACCACCCTTGCAAATTTGGTTGAAACTGGGAGGTGGCATTAGTTGTTTTTCCCATTATCCCTTAGTTTTATGTATATTATAAACTCATTTTATTTAAAAAATATAAAATATTAATTTGGAAACCTCACATAGAAAATGTATTAAGCCTTAGATTGAAAAATATTCTAGACATCAAACCATAAGAATGAGAATAAGGCATTTCTCTGAGTTGACAAAATGTCACTCTGTTCATATCCTGGGTGGGACCTAAAAATTCACTTTAAAATTCAGCATTTGAAAAATATGTCTGTGACTATGAGTCTGTGTATAGGAATATGTGTGAGTGTCGTGTGTGTGTAAAACTCTAAAGCAGAACATTTCATACTTTGCACAACTTTTATCCTGAGTTCAATTTTTTCTCCTTGGTCAGAGACTATGTTAAGTCCTTTGCATTTGTACTTCTAGTGAAATCTCTACCCACCACTAATTGGGTTGCAACTTTGCTTCATATCAAATCATTGCATTTGAAGTGCATAAAGAGTCATTGCATCAGTGCTCTGATCCTGTCTCCTGTGAGTAGACTCTGTTTCTCCAGCTGTTTTTTATAGAACTCCATCGATTACTGTGATTACAACTACTATGTCAAACACACATCAGGAAAAAACGATGTTAGATTTTAAACAGTGAATATCAAATCATTCATTTAAAGAAGTAAACTAGCACATTGAGAAGAAGCACCCCATTTGTTCCTCAATTTCTTGTTCTAATGTGAAGATTGATCACAAATTTCTTTTTCTTTTCTTTTCTTTTTTTTTTTTTAGAGACAGTCTCACTATGTCGCCCTTGGTAGAGTGCTGCGGTGTCACAGCTCACAGCAACCTCTAAGCTTTTGGGCTTAGGCAATTCTCTTTCCTCACCATCCCCAGTAGCTGGGACTACAGGCTCTGGCCACAGAGACTGGCTATTTTTTTTTGTTGCAATTTGGCTGGGGCCGTGTTCAAACCCACCACCCTCAGTACATGGGGCTTGCACTCTACTCACTGAGCCACAGGCACCGCTCTGATCACAAATTTCTTTGTACTGATTTCTGCTTCTTTGGGTCTTAGAGAATGGCTGCCAATCCTTTAGACATCAGGAGAAACACAATGAAACATCTTGTAGATTCTTATTGTCACTGTCATTTTCTTTACAGTGAATAGTCTCCAAGTGGAGGTTTTTCCTCAGGGAGCTGTGTGGGAAAAAATTGCAAGGCAGGAAATCTGACCAAAACACTAATTAGTAAGTGTGAGTAAACTTTCATCAGGGAGTGAAATTCCTTAAGATATGGTCAAAATAAGTATGAAAGATTTAGGTGATGTCCAATAACACAGGTAAAAAACAATGTAAGACTGTGGGGCAAGTGAAACAGATCTTCAAAAATATCTTCACTGGATTATTCTCCTAGAACACAAACATTTCTCTTCAAGCCGCTCTAAGTGGCTCTGAGATTTCCTCCTCTCTTACACTTTAACTGCTGCAGTATCTGCAAAGAGGCCTGCTTTAGTTTGCTGTTTCCTAGAATTAGGATAAATGAGTGACCCCAGAGATAGATGGCAGAGGTTGTCATCCCAATAATTAACAGCTTGTTTTCTGGCATAGTAGAATATGATATTTCTACGGCATAGCCTATAAAATACAAGATAAAGAGGATGATGAAAGATACCAGCATTTTCATTGCCTTCACATGAGCTTCAGTGCTGGGGTCTCTGAATCCTGTGCCGTTCAATTGCATCTTCCTACTGTGTCTCCAAAGGGAAATGATTAACAGGAAACATGTAATTAAGGACAGTGTAAAGAAGAAGATGATGCCCAGATTTAGCACAAACTGTTGAATAAAGAGTTCATTTTTATTCACGTTAAATCTCCAGGTTGTGTTTCTGTTCTTCACTTTATTATCATTAACAGCGTTCATGACTTGTGGAATAGTAACTAACCATGAAATAAATAAAGATCCCATCAGAAGAGGAAGAATTCTCCCGATTCTCATTTTCAACCAGAGGAATAGATAGTGGGAAAAATTTGCTATCTTCAGGAAATAGAAGATATTGAGGCTGGTGGCAAACCAGACACTTGATTGATTGATAAGTACCCACATGCAGTAAATATAGTCCTTTAGCTTATCAGAGTAATATGTATCTGGAGGGAATACCCATATTAATGCATCTATTATTATTATCCATATCAGACAAATTCTCGAAATTGCTAAGCCAGTGAGAATAAATCCAAGCATAGAGAATTTATTCTTAACGCAGTCAATGCAGTACACAAGTGCAATAAACCCATTCCCTGAAACTCCCAGGATGGATTCAATAATGGCTATAAAAAGGAAGATGCCTTCCACTACACTTAGCATATCTGCTGATCCTTAATCTAGATTCTGTTACATATATTTTAGTTTACCTGCTGCAGATAAGGCATATATTGGCTGCTGGATGGAATAGTGATTTTCTATTTTTTCATTATATAAAGACTTACACATGCCCAAGAATGCCTTGTGATGGAATCAGAAATCTCTTCACGGACAGCTTGCCATTTAACATCTACGAAACTTAGCAAGTTTAGAAAATGTGTGTTCAGAATGAACGTCTGTGGATAATTTGTTAAGATGCAAAAGGAAGTATCTGTTTCATGCATTTTTACTTGTCCTCCTGGGACTCCTTTGCATTCATGAAATTGAATTGTAGAGAATGGATGTCAAACAGGTCCATACAGGATACAAAACACAACAGATGTATTGACTTAATATTCTTCAAACTCAAATCATTCTCATTTGTATTGTTTGTAATCAGAGTTTGTGTATATAAATGCAAAGGACCATACAGAAGTATTAATATTCCTAGTCAGTGTGCAAATTAACTCTGAGTGTGTAATTTAATTTTTCATTAAAATTTAAGTGCAACTCTGGGTATGGCAAGTTTCACAAATATTCTTATACAAAATTGATTCTGTGGTTTCTATATCATAGTTATTATGTCCATTATTATGTCCATGCAGAAGATTATATTGTCAGTGGTGGCATCAAAGGCTCTTAGGAATAGTCTTGTAATTTAACATACTTTACTTTAATGACACCCATTCATTCATTTCTTCAATAAGTACTTACTACATGTCTAAATATATCACAAATCTCATCCACTCATTGAGAAAATATAGTGGTGGATAGGATATGAAATCTTTTGTAATTATGGACTTTACAGTCCAAAGGAGGAAGCAGGAAAAAACCAGATAAACCAATGTATTGGTCCAAAAATCAGAAGTGAAATCTAACATTTAAGGATTCTTCATTGCATTCCTAACACTATGTTAAGTACTTTAGGGTTCCATTTGTATTGTACTTCATGGTAATTTCCTCATTTTAACTTCATAAAAGACTACAAGCCTTTAAAATACATGCCATGTTTACCTTTATTGAAGATATATGAAAGCTTTACAGAAGAGTTTCTTCCCATTTAGGCTGGCATGACTCCCATCAGTAAAATTACAATGAGTGAGTTCACTAGGAAATATTATCAACCATAGGGAAAGACTATGAATTATAGTCAGCAAAACAAAAAAAATAACCAATCAAAAGCAAGCAGCAAACATAGAATTTACATAAACTACACATATTGCAATGAACAGGAAAAAATATGTATAGATATTTTAATTATGTATATAATGTTTTGAACATCAGGCTACAATTTCAGAAAAGAGGATCCACCAGACACTTTCTGAAAAAAAATGAGACATTGGGTACAAACTTTCTAGAAATAATGAATAGAAGTATATTAAATGAAAATGGACAAATTAATTCAAATAAAAAACTAATATTGACAGCCAAGATTTTAAAACTCCAACAAGATACTATTTACATGAAATACAATTCAAAATAAACACATGAAAAGTTGGAAAGAAAATGATACAAAGAGAGATGGTAGAAACATCGTCTGAATGAAATTTGTTATTGTTATAATAATATTAGGTATAGTAAACTTTAAAATAATAATCAATATTATTGATTATTATTAAAGGGGGAATGTATTTGGTAATGATTAAAAATGCTCAATTTAGCAGGGGGATAGAATAATTCTAAATTTTATGCATGAAATAATCTATAAAACATTTATAGAACTAAAAGAAAAATAATTGTTAGTGGATCACCACACCCACCATCTACAAAATAGTTTGGCAAGCTTTTAGGGGAGATAAATATATGTAGTCACATCTTAGGCTTTCTGGTAAAACTCATGACACTGGGAAGATTAGATAAGCATCTTTATGGGATGTTTTCATACTATTAACATTGTTCTAACCTGGGTGCAGACATCTTGGTATGTGCGGAAGTCAACAGGGCAGATGCTTCAATGTGGTGTCTCTCTTGCCGTAATACTGACTGTCACTGTATACTCCTCCTCTCCAAAGTATGAACAATTGGGTGTGTATGCATGTGTGTGTTCAAAAGAAATTCAGCTAAATCAGCTGCAGGGTGTCACCTTCTCCTCCAAGTCTTGTGACATGTTCAAGTCCCATACAAGTTGGTGCATACTCACTATTCTTGTTCCCAGTAGGCTAGCCACATAATTAGGCCTTTGAATACAGCGCAGTTATCATTACAAATACTAGGGGCCAGGACTCATGCATAATTACTACCTAAGCAGCTGACAACTCAGCCCATTGACTACCCTGATGTGTGTCTGTCTATGTTGGGGTCCCAATAAAGGGGCTTCCAGTGCTGGTGCCATTGGTACACCAGTCCTCATCTTGGATGAGTTAACTCCTTATCTTACTGGGTCAAGCACTGGAGCAGAACAGGGTAGACAAGTGTTCTTTGGTTGATCATAGGTACCCAAACATAACATAGCATGCAATTCTGAGCTTCAGAGACTTGTTGCCAGAACACTTCCTCTTGTAACTAGGCATGCCCTTTATCCAGAGTAGGTGTTTGGGCTTCAACAGAAGCAGGTTATTTGAATTTTCCTTCTATTCATCTCTTAAATATTAGACCCCTTCTCACAGTCAGAGAGGGTCTCTGTTAATGGTTTCAGTGGAGGTAAAGAATAATATCCCACCAATTGATCTTGGGCGAGTATCTGGGTCCAGCTCTAGAAGGGATACAAAGAAAAGGGCTTGGAGGAGGATGGGAGGAAAATCTGGCCTTCTTGATAAGGAAGGCTAAAGGGCCCATAAGAATGGGAACCAATGACCAATACAAAGAGACGATAATCACTGGCCAATGTAAAAGGGCAATCAGTCCTGGAAGTGCAGAGAGGCCAGTGAAAGAGTTGCAACCAATTTCAGACTCAGAGGAAGAGGAACTTATCTCTCTGCATTGCCTTTGTGTTGTGTCTCTCTCACCTCTTCCTCATGAGAGGGACACACTTCCAACTCTCTTTGGAAGTGCTCTAAATTTCTCTTTGCTATTCAGTGAAATTTCTCTTTGTTACACTGACCTTGCATGGGTTACTTTTGCTGTCTATGTACACTGCCTGCCCTACTCTAGTTTTAGTCACAGCTTCTACTTCATTTTTGCTTCCAGTTATGACTGCGCCTCATTGAACTTTCTACCCCAGCTGAGTGATCCATCAGGATCAAAGGGATTCAGGAAAATAGGGCCCCTGACATCTCAAAATCTCCTTTCTACAATTATGACCAAAACCCTGAACGGAATGAGTTACCATACTCAAGTTGCCCTACGATCCACTTCATACCCTCAGGTGTAGCGTAGCAGTAACATTGAAAGACATAGTGGTGCCCTCTAAAGGGTGCTGAAGGCTGGTGTCTGCTGGACCAGCCCTTTAATCTCTTCAAATGCTTCTTGCTGATGTGTCTCAGTTGCAATGTGCCCCTTTTCTAATATGTCTATAGAATGTTCTCAATCATTGGGCTAAAGGTGGGATAAATGCTCTCCAATAACTTAAATGATCAACAAATGTTCGATATCTCTTACTGTTGTCAAAGTTGGGAATTATGGGACATTCTCAAGTACTCTACTTGGTAGCAAAGGAGTCTTACCTAACCCTAAAACTACACTTCAGGCCCTGGGGCTTGAATCTTCTGAGAGTTGGTTGCTCATCCTCATTCCTGTATTTCAGCGCCCAGTACTATAATATTTTCTGTGGCACATTAAATCTTCAGGGTTTAACATAACATCACCATGTAAGGAAATCTGAGAAGAGAAGATGAGAATCAAAACAAAGACACTTCTCTAGCCACCATTCCATGACAAATATTAGGAATGTAGGAATGGGAAAGTAGTCCTAGAGCAAAACTTGAAGGTGACCTTACCATTAATTGTTTGAAGAGAGGAATGCTGACAAAGCATTAGGCAAATCTAAGACAGCATGATGGGTCCACAGTGTGGACAATATGTGGTTGACTACCTGAGTATTTCCCGGTGTGACAATTAAGTCTGCTCGCTCTTCATAGAGAAAGTGCTCCATACCTCCTTGCTGAATATCACTAGGGTAAACAAAATGCCAAGGGGACTACTTTGAAGGTAATAATATTCATCAATGAAGAATGTATCATGCTTTCTAGGACCAGTTTTGTGAACTTCACTATCAGGTTTTGTATCAGGAATTGCAACATGTATGGCTGGGGTTACCTTTGTCAATACCCAGTCATCTGCCAGGTCCTGTCTGATTTGTGTACAGACCAGAGAGCACAGTCAAGGGGACATTTTGGCTGAGTGGATATACATGCCTCTTTATAGGTTGTTTAGTAGCTGCACTCATGTTAGCATGTTTCCCCCAGCAGATTTTAATTGTTTAATATTGACAATCCATCAAAGATAGGGAATTATAGGGGCTCTCATTTGCCTCTTCCATGTGAATTCTCTTTAATCTGAATTCTCTCACTGAAGTTTGAAAAGCCTTGCCTAACAATGCCTGTGACTAAATGTTTTCTAGAACAGAGGAAATATACCCCATAAATGGGGCACGTAGAAATTTTCCAGAATCGAAAAGTATTAACGTTCTTTCATAAGGATCATTTGTTTCCCATAACTATCAATGGTAAAAACTGAGAAGGGCGTCTTGCT